ATAATTTATGGGGTCTAGGGTTTAACGGTTTGTCAGAATTTTTGATTGACCAACTCATGTGGCATCGGCAGTCTAGTGGCAACTGGACTCAAAATCGTGACGTCAAGTGCTGGGCCCGACATTATATCCTTGGGCAAGGCACTTAACACAAATTTTCTTCACTTCACCTATTGAATGAGTACTCGGCCTTAGCCAGTGAAAGCTCTTGTTTAGTAGGCCTATGCCTGTGTGTTACATTCCAGTGCTTAGCGCCTGTAAAAACAGTAAAATGGCAGCTTGCACTATGTAGGCCTACTGTATGCAACCCAGGAAGTTGAGATTTTTTTTTTCAGAATGCTATCAGGTCTGCTGGGTAATAATTAATAATAATTATTAAAGATTGTAAAGTACATAGATATATATGTAGAGCTTGCTATGTTGAGAAGAAATTCCCTCTGTACAAAGTACATTTTTTATGAATTTATAATCATTTAATGATGCTGAGCTTTCCAGTTTATCAATCTGTCCTTAAAAATTGTTCTTCTAGGTAGTCCAGCTCCAGGTTGAATAGAATGTTCAAGTGTCAGTTATTATTAGGCCTATCATTATCATTATTTAATTTGATGATGCTGAGCTCTCAAGTCTAACGATTTGTCTTTAAAAATTGTTCTTCTAGGTTGCCCGGATCCAGGTTTCAACAATGACACTGTCGTTCAACCTAGCAAGGATTCTTACAACTACAGAGATACCATTCAGGTGTCATGCGATGCCGGATTTGTCTTTGATAATGAGGAGTTTTATGAGGACAGTCCAGCTGGTCTGCAGAGCAAAACGACAGTAGGCTTGGAGTGTTTGTTTGGTGGCAAATGGAATGTCCAAAATACTCCAAACTGCATTCGTAAGTTTGCTGAAGCAAATCTGCTAACTGAAATATTTTTGTTTGAGAACAGGAAGGTGTGCTGAGCTGATTTTTAGCGGGGTGTGTTGAAATCGTATCAGATTTTGATTCAAGTGCTAGTGTATTGCTGTGCAGTCAAAGTCTGCGCATTAAATTTCAAGGAGAGTCATTTTTAGATTCAGATCCTTCCTCACTAAAATATTATACGAGATGTGTCTCAGATGATATCCATGAAACTTTTAAAGCAACTTCCATGCTAATATCAATCTTCAAATGTGAAAAGAAAAATGAATAATTATTCTAAAAGTTCTTATGCTTCATGTTTTACATCAGGCCTTAAGTGAAAAATATACGCATGTGCATATATATGGAAATGCTTTATAATATTTGTACTGTTGTCGTTGAACAGGAAGACACTGTGATATACCCCCTACCGTCACCAATGGATACGTTGAGTCTGGGACTGGAGTTGTGTATGGATCTCAGGTTACATATCGATGTAGAAATGGATATCGATTGCAAGGGCTTGGTACAGTGAGCTGCAACATAAACGGACTCTGGGACAATGTTCCTATCTGTGTTGGTAAGCAGCAGAGCAATACGATGTGTACTTTGTTACATTTATCAGAATTGATAGCTTTAAATGAGTACTATTTTTTTTTGGCTTACTTTATGGGAAAGTCACCACCCAAGGATTTGGGAAGAAAATGTCTTTAGAGTGTTCAACCAGTATTTCTATTTCTATTTTGATAACTCTGTCTATCACCTTTTAAAAATATGTCTTTTTTGTGACGCCAAACATTAAAGTGTTAAATGATTACAGATGAACTAGGCGGTCATAGGCCAAAATGTATTGGAGGCATCAAGTGGATAATTATTAGTTGATGATGTTCATTATTCTTTAAAATAATGTTGTCTTTATACTATGTAGAAATAAGTTAAACTGCTGCCAGTTTTGTATCATTTATTAGCTTGAATCCTACTTGTAGGCTTAGCATTACATTTTGACATATTGTACATTTGTTGGGTTTTTTTTTAGTTTTGTTACAACACACTGGAGTCCTATTCAGATTTGATAAATATGTTTCCTTTCTTCCCCCTGATATAGAGGTGCAGTGCCAGTTTCTGAACTTGGCCTCAACGCTAGCTGCGGAGACGCTCGTGACTGGCAATGGCCGGAGTGCAGGCAGCATCTATAACTTTACTTGTCCTCCGGGGTATCAGCTCTCCGGATCCCCTATCATTGTCTGCCAAGACACTGGCAGTTGGAGCGAGGTCCCTCCAGTTTGTAAAAGTGAGCTGCTTGAACAGAATAGTTTATTTTTCGGTTTTAATTTTACTGACCTACTAGAGTTTTATAAGCCCTAGAAAGTGAATTTAAATACTTATTATCCTATTGGCTATTTAGCTCTACTGCCTTCACAATTTTTTTTTCTTTACATTTACTACATTACAAATTTAATTTTTCTCTCTTTGAATAGTATGAAATTAGAGATAAACTGTACGTTTCATTAAGTTTACCATAAAATGTGTGCTTTATAATATACTGTTTGGTGATATATAATATTAGTGTGAGATTGCTTTGTTGTAAGGGAAACTGCTTTTAAGTTTTAGTATCAAATGTGAAGTGTGCTGACAAAATGAGATACTTCTCGCAATCAGTGAATGAAGATATCGGCCAAGAATCAACACATAGGTCAGATTTATAGACTTGCAACTGATAACACTTTCTTTAAACTTACCATGTCTTTTATCATTTCATATTAATAAATTTTGTACACAATCAACCTATGACTTTGACATATCTATATCCATAGGGTTGAAATCTGGGAAGTAACTCATTTTGTCAGCATGCCTCACAAATATCCGTTACTTGTGATGGTTCATGAGTTTTTATTGCATTTAATTTGATAATTTTAGGCAAAGCATTGGTAGGCTCACCGCGTGACTATTATTCTCATAGAAATGTTTGTACATATACATATAATATATGAATAATACTATGATTTACATACACACTTGTCCATTAATTTTTAAGGTGTGATATTTTTATTAACGTAAGGCGCATTGAACAGTTTTTAGAAAATGGAAATGTGCAGCATAAATGCTCTTTATCATTATTATTTTTATTATTATTATTATTATTATCATTATTATTATTATTATCATTATTATTATTGCATACTTTGAAATGTTACCCTACTTGTTTCTCATGTTTTATTTTCTTGAAATTGAGATATATTTTCCCTCATTCTCCTCAGGATTGCAGTGCGTGGTGCCCACAGTTGATAAAGCCATTGTCCAAACAAACTCGCTGTTCTTTTCATTTGGAGGTTCTCTGAGAGTTGTCTGTAATGAGGGATATGTGATTGCTGGAACCGCGAGCAGAGTTGCGTCTATCATTTGTGGTGCAGACCAAACGTTTGGTGTGCTTCCAGTGTGTGAAGGTACTAAAGATTTAGATACAGAGGGATAGGATATAGCTTGACTGCTCAATAAATTTTAAATTACTAAAAAGATGCGCAATATTAGTTTCTTTTTCATTAGTATTTTGGGGTCATTGCTGTCAACGTGAATTGTCCGTGTCCTTTTTTTTCACTAGCCCTGGTTCAGTCAACAACCTCACATCTGTATTTAATAAACTAGCTGGGCCCTTTTTCGATGAAAGGATAAATTGGTGCATTAACATCAACTGAAGGTCATTGGCCTACTACATTTACACTCTAGTGGAATGCAGCAATAAATCTTGAGAGAAAAATGACACACATGTTTCCAAGTTGCCAAATATAAAATAGATGTATAGCTTGATTCTCTATTCCGCTATTGTGGTTGTACACTCCAGAATTTCAAAGGTGTGGAACCAGTGTGCATGGATAATGAACGGAAACCTCACTTGTTTGCGAAAGAGTCTTAGAAGACGGATGTTCCCAAGATTCTGTGTGGACGAAACAAAGCATTTTGGAAAAATCAGGGGAAGCAGGTTGCGTCGATTTTTTAAAGTTAGGTCCTAGCCACATAGATGCTGTTGATGCCTGCAAAGTTTCAAAGGTATGGGTCAGGTAATAAGGGAGGAGTTTGTGCACAAAGCCTCCCAAGTCCACTTTTATATAGATCTAGATACATTCCCCTTCACATGTGCTCACTCATGTTCACTCACTGAGGTGCTCATTTATCACTTGCTGTTTGACTTATATTGTGACTTATATATTTTTTTCTCTTTCACAGTAATTTAGAGTTAGGACTGTGTGTGGTTTGCAGGTGCTCTGGTGTGGTTTGCCCCTTAAAATTTTTCCTATAAAAGACCCATTTTTCATGTCACTTCTCCTTCTTTTCTCTGTATGTTACTCTCTAGTTACACCTTTTATTTTTACTAAAAGAGAAAAAAAAGAGCTTGGATTTAATTAATGAACATGTGAGTCTCATATTCTTCACAGATACTAATCTCTCCTGTTTGATTGAGTCAGTAAAAATCAGATGCTTTTATGCCTCCTATTTGACTGAGTATAAATCAGATGCTTTTGTTCCGCTCTATTTCACTGACAGTGTCCAGTTTTGACTACTGCTCAAGCAACCCCTGTACTGCCAATGAGGTCTGTACAAGTGTGATTGGTACACATCAGTGTGATTGCAGGGAAGGTTTTAGGCGGAATGGCACACTCTGTATTGGTAAGTTGGTCCATCCCTTGCTTTGTGGCATTTTAATGTTGGTCATTTTGTTTTGTGATTGTCTTGTGTGTGGTGCTTAACCCTATCCGTACGCCTTTGGGTCATTTTGTATCCTCGGGGTTGTATTCTTTTCATTTTAGAATGCTTCTAGTACGAAGATCTCTTTGAAACATTCAGTATTTCTCAAAAATTCATTTTGACAGATTGCTTTCTAAAGTGTTCGGATCGGATTGACGAGTAAATTTCCACTATGGAAAGTGGTGGCACAGAGTTCCCCACGTTGTATGGATACAATAGTAAAACATTACCTACGGATAGGGTTAAGATAGAAATAAGGGATTCGGGAGGGGGGGGGGGGGGCTCTTGTGGTCTAGAGATACAATATTTGCCTCTCATTCAAAAGATCCCTCGATTAAAACCTGACAGTGAAGACAGATTATAATAATACTTGTGTTCTAATATTTTTCTTTTTAAGCACTGAAATCGCCTACCAAAAAGTTTTGTCTGAAAGATCAAATTTACTTCTTACAGAGTTGTATGGGTGTTGAATTTTTTCAGTCAGTCTATGGAAAATCTCTATCCCATTACTTTATGACTGACACCTTTTTTGTACCTTTAAAGCTACAGTTTTGTGTATAATTTATAGGTGTACTTGTTGTTGTTGTTGTTAGCGATCCAGTAGCATCTGAGCGTTAACTCTTCTGCATGATGCCATTTGGTAATAGTTGCATGTTTGTTCTAATTGTTGTCTTGAGGAGTAGAGGCAATTAGATGTGTGGGGTAGCTTGGGAAGAAAACATCCCCTTAAATCAGTTAGTTTTCTACAGAAGAACAGATGATGTTCCACTGTCTCTGAGGGGTAGTCACATAGTGGGCAGGCAGCAGACTGCTTTACTCCAATTCGGTTGAAATGTTGATTGAGGGATACATGTTGTGTTCTAAGTTGGAAGATTATGGATTGATCTCCCCTCCTCAACTCATTGATTGGATCTTTGACCAGTGGTTTATTCATGTAGCCATACATCCTCCTTCCTGTCGTACCTGTGGCCCAATCATTCATCCACTCTTCCTTGAGGTTTGACTTGATCATTTGGCAGCAGGTGGTGTAATTCGTAGGAATTTCAGGCTGAGGGAGGCTAGCTCCTTTCTTTGTCAGAGCATCAGCTCTTTCATTTCCCGGTATCCCAGTGTGGGCAGGAATCCATTGTAGGACTACTCTGATGTGGTGCCTACTTATCAAGTTATGTAGACTCCAAATGAAGTGCAATATATCTTTGTTCACATCAGTCCCACTCTCAAGTGTCTCTAGTTTTGAAAGGCTGTCTGTAAATATAACGATGTCTGTGGTAGCAAGTGGGTAAGTGTCAAACAAGTAGTTTATGTAGTTTGTGGTGTTGGTGATAGCTTGTTGTTCGGTAATGAAATTGGAGCAGAAGGACCCGCTGGAGTTGAAGTCTTCTTTTTTTTATCCCACTGGGCAAGTTGATCACTGACCCATATCCAGCGTTGATTGTTGCCTTAAAGGCAGATCCATCAGTGTATGAGTGGATCCATGTTGGTGGATAGGAATCAATTGTTTCAAGGGCAGAATGTTTTAGTGCTACAGGATATATGTTTTTATTGCTCTTGTCCAAAAGTGTTTTCCTATTTTCTGGCTTTGCTATGGGTGAGATGTGGTGTGAGAGTTGAGGGAACTCTTTCCAGAGGTTCTCGTCTTTCAGGGGGGGTGATGTTTTTCTTGGAGATTGAGAACAGTGTCAAGTACAGATTTTGTATTTTTAAATCTTTGATTAGGTTTCCACTTGTCAACAAGGACTCTATTAGGGTGGTTATATTCTAGCCTTTTAGATCTTTCATATACTTCTAAAGCTGCCCGTTTTCTTCGAGTTTCTAATGGCTCAATATTTGTGTGGATTTCACCGGCTGCAGTCGGTTAGGATCTCATTCCGCCAGAGATAAGACGAAGAGCTTGGTTTTGGATGGTGTCCATTGAGTTCTTTGAAGTTTTACTGCATATGTTTTGTAGAACAAGATTATAATCAAAAACAGCTCTGGTATATCCTAAATAGAGGCCTCTCAAGGTGTTCTTGTCTGATCCCCAGTTGGTACTGGCAAGTCGTTTGATGAGATTAAGTCTCTTCATAGCCTTCTTCCTAAGGTTGTTGGTGTGTTGTTTCAGGTTGAGCTTGCTGTCAAGTTGTACTCCAAGATATACTGGGTTATTCTCCTTTTTCAAGTTGGTACCATCTATTTTGAGAGGGATTTCTGCATTTGCAAGCAGTACTTCAGTTAGTGGAATGGTATCATAATATGGCTTTGTCTTAGTTCTCTTTTTATCAGTGAGGGTGTTTTGCAGATGGTCTGGTGTGATTTGGTCCTTATTTCCAATCAAACATCTATCGACTTTATCTTTTCTTTTTTTGTGTGTTTGTTACTCTCTGGTAACTCCTCTAGTCTTCTGCACTCACATGATCTAATTATGTTGCGAGTTCTGAAAAACTCTTACTGAAACAAATTTTAATCAGTCTAGGCTCTGGTTTTGTTGCATTTTTTAAATTAGGGAGTTGGCTAATATTGTTTCGTTTTTATCCCTTTTTATTGACAGAATGAAATGTGTTTTGGAACATTAATCCATAACTTAAGTATATGGTGACTAATGCTTAGAGTGGGTGGTAGAAGAGGTCTTATATGGGGTGCCTGTTGGGGGATCGGGTTGGGTGTAAAGTGACTATCGTGGCACAAGCCAATCGCGCTGCCAACTCGTTGCCTTAAAAACGCAAGCGTTTGTTTTCACGTGACAAGTCCGGCGATCAACCCGACCCGACCCAACCTGACCTGATCCCATCCGCAATGGGCACCCAGTATTACTGCCTTTCTATCCCCATTTGCCTGCCTATCTTACTTTTGCCCAATGCTTATAAAGGATCAACACACCGATGTGTTTCTTTTATACTGGCACCTCAGTACTACATTATCTTACTTACAACAAGGGATGAGGGGTCAAGTATGTGACATAGGAGGAGTTGAGAAAGGAGTATCTCCCACACAGCAGCAAGGAACAGAAGCAGAGAAATCTGTACCGTAAAACTTTATCTTTAATCCCAGCATAGTCTGGAAATTATAGTTATGGAATAAATAGTGTAATTTTGATACTGTTTCAATAATGCTTGTGGATGGAACTTCAATGATTAACGCCATTCTGAAATAATTCTGTGTCTTTTGCTTGTGTTTCCAGATATAGATGAGTGTGAAGAAGACACTGACGGATGCAGTCAAATATGCAACAACATTGATGGGGGCTACGTGTGCTCTTGCCAAAATGGATTCTCTCTGTACACGGTTGATGGGCTCAATGGATACGAGATCCCCAGTTCTGAGACAGGACTCAAGGCTGGAGACGTTTACCGGATCAATCACAGCTGTGTTTGTGAGTGCTAAGTGATCTTCTAAACTTTGAATAATGACTTCATTTTATAACTTCAGAATGAAGTCTGTTGTTTCGGCAGCAAGTGAAATAGGCCAGATTTTTACAGCTAATGGTGATTATAGTCTGATGTTGTTTATAGCAGCAAATGTGTTCATGTTGTATCCTTGTTCCAGCCTTTGACTCTGTTTACCAGTGGATGGTTGATGGGTGCAATAATTTTGTTTTTCTTTCTACTTTTTCTTCAACATAATGTATTATATCATCCCTTCTCTGTTTCTGACGCAAGGTGTTCATTACAATTCTCTGTGAACTGCTACTTAGCGACATTTTAAAAATACTGTATTTAGTCTCTGCCAATGAACCTGTCTTTGTATCAACTCCACAAGGATTGTCCCAATTCACTTTCACATACAGATCAGTCTTGCTTTTTCCTAGGATTTTACCCCACGACCACCCCAGACACATACCCTGTTCACCATTGGTTGACATTTTTAAATTACTGAAATACAAACTGCTCTTTCATCTTTCACTGTGAATACCAAACATTTAAAGAAATTCTGCTAGTAGTAAACTATATTAACAGTAAAATGGTTATTTGATTAAACTTTTACAATAAGAAAGGGAAAATGCACTGAATGATTTCAAGTATACTACAGGAGAAGTTCTATCATAATTTAGCAATAAATGAATACTTTTGATTGCTGAGAAATCTTATGACAGAAAAATTTCTCAGCTCATAGTAAAGACAATTTTAACGATGAATTGTTTTTGTTTCGATTCTCAGCAAAACTTTGTCCTGATCCAGGCGAGGTTGTTAATGGCTATCTGACTAAACCACAAACTATGTATCATGTTGGAGACAGCATCACTATTGGTTGTGACATTGGTTTTGTGCCACTAGGAAGTGTGAATACGGCGAGTTGTGATGTTTCTGGGGTCTGGACGCCAAGAGTTCCCACCTGTACAGGTAAGAGTTGTTGTAGATCCTAGCGATGTCACTTTTTTGTGAGGCTATTTCAAATGGTAGTTAAAATCAAAAGCTCCTTCATTGCGATTTAGATAATTTAGGAGGCAGGCTTCCTCAACTCTTTGTAAGGGCCAACCCAGGTTGAATGGGGTACAGCATCCTAGCAGAAAGATGGAGTTCCTCAATAAAATAAACTTCTCAAGACAGGAAAACAAATCACATCTTTTCAATATAACATTAAAAATCCTGTTCGATAGTGTTGCTAGCTGTAAAATGAAAATGACATAATTTAATTCAAACAAAACAGTAGCCTTCAATAAATTGTTATGCCTATAAACTGAGATATTTGATTGCTTTTAAGGTCAAGCGGAATAACCCAGATTTCACGGGTTTCCAGAAATCATGACCAACACCAAAAATGGGCATTTCCCTACATATTGGAGAATTTTGGTTTCATTGGTGTGTATATTTGTTTGGTTATAGAGAAAACTCTCCTTGTCTATTAAAGAAACTGAACAAGGGGCAAAAAACTTTACCTTCTAAACTTCAAAACAGCATTTTTGGGGATAGCCCGCTTGTACTTAAAAGCAACCATTTATGAGATGCAGGAAAGTGTTTTTTCTCCTAGACCTGCTCTATTACTAAATTCTCAGGTACTGCAGTGAAGGGGTTAAATACATCATTCTTTCATCCGTGAAATAATTATATCATTTTATTTGATTTCCCCCCTTTCTTCTAGTCGTTCAGTGTCCTCCAGATGTACTTCCAACTTTGAACAACCCACCTCTGGCCATAAATCCGAGAACAGCGGTCAACTACGGAGAAACGGTTAGCATTACCTGTCGGATTGGTGGTGCTACTGTGACCACTAAGTCCAGGAAGTGTGTCTATAACCCCACCACCCTCAGCTACCAGCTGCAGGGGGACAGTTATGAATGTGGAGGTGAGAATTTTATAAAGTTCAGAATGTTTCTGAATGTTCTAGAGCTGGGGTAATGAGTTAGATTAAGATAAGGTAAGATAAGAAAGGGCTTTATTATCCCAGAGGGAAATTTTCCTTGGTTGTACAGGACCGTAAAAACACATGCAGTGCAGGTATACATTAAAAAAATTAAATTATATATTACTCTTATTAAAATTCAATATGAAAAGAGAAGTAAAGCTGACAAAATGTACATTTACATCAAATTCATCATTCAACCACATGCAGGAATTTAAATACTAGACCTTTGGAGTTATATAGATACATACTCTAAGAGCAGCACACATCTATGCTCATTCTGACTAAAGCCTTATGCTAGATGTTAAAAAACTTCTTTTATATCTTTCTTTCTTTGTTTTTGGAGGTACATATCTGCCGCTGCGTGATCTTACAATTCGTGTGGAAAGGGGGTGTGATGGGTCGTTTATAATGCTTTTTAAAAAGCGCATAGAGTTTTCTGTTGAACATGGATATATATGTGCTATACAAATGAAGACTTTGGTGGAAAAAAAGGAAATGAGTCACAATTCAATAAAGCGGAGAAATGGAAGTTCAAAAGTTGAAGGTCCATATCTCATATTTCTTTTTCCTTTCATAGCACGACAGGACTCAGCTAGGTTATCCATGGGATCATTTGCAGAGAAGATAGTTCAGTTTGTTAAGAATACACACAAGGAAAACAATACTTGTTTAAAAAATTGTGACTTTCTGGTTTTTTTCACTTAAGTCTTTAAATGCAGTTTATTATTGTTATTTTTATTATTATTGTTATTATTGTTATAGTTATTTTTATTGTTATTGTTATTATAATAAAGAGGATCATGTTGAGGACCAGCGTGCATGCTTCAATGCTGTATGTTCCATGAGTTACTGATTAGGTAGATTAAAGCAATAGTTGAGACAAGGGAATTATAGTAGAGAGACATAAGTGCTTACCAAGTAGTGGAAAAGTAGTTACAAATGTTCTCTTAAATTTAGAGTTTTAAGAAAATCATGTACTCTTTTGTAATACGAATTTAGTTAACTCTTTTCTGACCACACTTTTTTCCTTTCTGTCCCCAAGCCATTTAGATGACTATATTTTCCTTTCTGGTTGTAATGAGAAAAATCAGAATTTTCTTAATTTTATTCTCAGGATCTTTCATGTTTTATATATATCATGATATCAGAGTCTGAGTAAATAGATCTTCTGTCAGATTATACAAAGAGAAAAAGTAATCTGATCAGAAAATAGGGGGTTGTTGCGAGTCCTAAGACTCTGTAGTTGAAGAAAAAAAGAATACTTTGAGCCGCAAAAAGCCATATCTTTGCTTTGTCGGAAAGTATATACAGCCCGAACAATACTTTTTGAAATTAATGATTTTAAGAACAGACATCGTAAGTGGTTGGCGGATGCTCTGGTGTGGTTTTCTCCTTCTTTCCTTATCATCTTTATCTCTCTTATTCCTTCTTTTTTTATGTATGTTACCCTCTTGTATCACCTCTAATTTTGGCACTTATATGACCTAATTGTGTTGCAAATGCCATAAGTAAATGCTTTTAAAAACTAAAAAAAACCAAACCATTGTCTTACAATTCCCTAACAATGACTATCCTTTTCTGTGTCACAAAAAAAGCCAAAAAAACCCCAAAACAAACAGACATCTACTGCTATGTTATTTATATTAAATAATATATTGTGCTTTTACTCCTTTCCTAACTGCAGAGATTGACTGTGGAGACCCCGAAGTCCACCTACCGACAGGAGCAGCAGCCCTTTTCTTGGGGCCTGGAGACAGCTCAACAACATTTGGTAGCCAGTTTGTTTTTGCTTGCAAGTTCCCGTATTTCAAACGTGGGGATGATCAGGAATCTAATGTCACATGCCAGCTCAACGGGACTTGGAGTTTGGGAGAACTGGATTGCATCTGTAAGTTAGTGCTGAATGGGAACTTCTTTTTTTTGTGTTTATTGTTGATTGTTGTTTGACTGTAGTCCAGTGCCTATAATAGTCAGTTCCTGGTGGTTGGCGGGTGCTCTAGTGTGGGCTGCTCCTTATTTTTTACCTAACATCTATTGTCTTTATCTATCCTCATTTTCTTTGTATGTTCCACTCTAGAAACTCCTCTAATCTTTAGCGCTTATATTATCTATTTGGGGTACAAGTGGTGTAAAACTCTTACTAGAATTGAAAGAGAAAGGCATATTTAAAAAATTGTGAGAGAATGTCATTACCCTTGTTAACTATAAGCCCCTAATGCCCCAGCCTCTTTCCTTATATCACTACTTTGTACATAAAATGACCTGCGTGAGTATTTTTCAATTATGGGTCCACTTGTGAGTGTTACTTTTCTCAGAAGTCATAAAAGAGTTACAGCTCACTTTTGCAATATGATACGATGATACAATAGATTTCATATTTCTTTGGAGAAGCTTTTTCTATTTTCACAAATGACTTGTTTTCCACAGAGCACCACAAATGGCTTTCAGTGGCTATGAGAGACAGCAGAGAATGAAACTCTTTTTTTTGTCTCAAATTCTCTTACATTTCCCCCCAAAAATGCTGCCTGAAAATGACAGATTTGGGTGCAACGGTTGATAGTGTTTCTGATTCAGAGATATCAGTAGGGCCTATATGTCTTACTTTTTTCTTTTCCTTTTAGTTATTTCTGCCTTGGGAACTGTTTTTACTCTAGCAGTACTATTATGTTGATAGAGCATTTTATAATTATTACTTTGCATTGATCAGTCCTGGTAGGAAATACATTGCCTAACAATTTCCTATCAATGGCTATCCTTTTCTGTGTCACTTTACCGCAATTTGATTTCCACAAGCATGAATTAAATCTAAGCTGCTTTTGTTCCCAAATGCTTTTAGATGGCTACTGTCCTGACCCGGGCAGAGTTCCAGATGGTAATACGGTCATAGAAGGTTACGAATTCAACAACTCCACAAGTTACTCTTGCTCCAGACAGGGCTTTAACATTGTGCCTAATGTTGAGCTTCGATGTGAGAACGATGAGAACGGTGTAGCTCTGGACTGGAGCGCACCTCCTCCTGTTTGTGTTGGTTAGTGCACCGTATATTATTCCTTATTTTCTGCATGTGAGTGTGTGTGTGTGTGTGTGTGTGTGTGTCTGTGTGTGTGTGTGTGTGTGTGTGTCTGTGTGTGTGTGTGTGTGTGTGTATGCATGTGCGTGTGTGTTTGGGGGAGAGAGAGAGAGAGAGAGAGAGAGAGAGAGAGAGAGAGAGAGAGAGAGAGAGAGAGAAAGAGAGAGAAAGAGAGAGAGAGATAGAAAGAGATAGAGAGAAAGAAAGAGGGATGGGGATGGAAGGGAGGGAGGAAGAGAGAAAGAGAGACAGAGAGAGAGAGAGGGGGGGAGTGAGGGAGAGAGAGAGAGAGGTAGGAACAGTAAGAAAGAAAACAAGATAGGGCAGTGGTCTTCTTTTTAGCTATGTATGTCCATTACGAGATAATTTAATTTAAAATTGTTTGTCTTTATGAAAAAGTCCCATACAAATGAAAGCATTCATGGAATGGTAGAGTTAAAAAGAGACGCCTGACCTAATTCCTTTTATGAACTTATGCTTAGCTATAGAATATGATGTAAACAATTATAGCTTCAAAGTGTATGCTTTTGCCACTCTGCCAAGCACAAAGGCCAGAGAGAGCAATTTGGTTGAGCAAAGGAGCTTGCACCCTGAATTAAAGAAGAAGAATAAAACATGTATGTGTTGTAACTGATGGCTATGACTTCTGGGTTACATTGGAGAGCTCATTTTTGGAGCATTTATTTCACATTATACCATCTCGTTGCAATAATAATAAGAGTGTTGAATGAATTTTATATACTTTATGCTGCTTCTTGAATTATTCAAAGGGTTGGTTTGGTGCCTTTTAGATTGTAATTCAGAATACTATGATGCCAGTATTGTCCTGGTAACAAACCACTTCCCACCTGACCAAAAAACACTTCCAATTTAAAAGAATGTTACCGTAATGGGATATCAAGGTACCCTTTTCCTGAAGTAGCTTCTAGGCGATCATTACGCTTCTAACACGAGAAATATGTTAAGCTTGAAAAAGTTTGGTTTTGTTTATTTGAAGGAAAACAATCTTTATAAAAATAACTAATCATATGCACTTGCAATTTCAGACCAGGAAAATCCACTCTTCATTAACTGTGAAGACGAAGACCGCTCCATCTTGCGATACTCCGAGGTTGTCATACCGTCTCCTGAAGCGACGGACAATTCAGGTTCCTGGGCCAAGCTTACTGTAGATCCACCTTATTTTGTGTCTGGTCAAGCCTTGGCCAATGACCTCAATGTCACCTACACTGTGAGGGATCATGAGGGACTGACGGACACCTGTGTCAAGCGTTTCTTTGTTCTGGGTAAGATGTCTGTGACCATTCCTATTGTACTACAACATCTGTGATTTCAAATACAGTAAAACCATGGTATAAAATGTACACATTTACAACATACTATCGGCTGTAATGTTCACTTTTATAAGCCCAAAGTCCCGATTAATGTTTTTACTCTTTTTGTCTAATACCTACCTCATGTAAGATATTTTGAATCTTGGGTCCGAAAGGACATTTTTCGTCATGTTCAAAGAGAAAAAGTAATATGTAAAGAAGCGTAGTGGAATCAGGCTCTCGTCAATTTTTGGGCATGGAGTGTTATTGGTAACATCTTAAAGCTTGTTCACTTGTCTTTATTTGAGTGAAAAAAATATCCATTCATGTTGAATACAAGTTGAGATATTTGCGAAAGAATGATGTGGGGGTCACCTGTTTTCTGAGGTAAAATTAGTGAGAAAATGGCAGCCAAAGATTAGTTATTTCCTTAGTTTAATAAGAGTCCGTGGTGACAGAAAATTTACATTTTTTGAGCCTTTAATCAAAGTTTTTCAGAAAAATTCACACAGAAATGAGGGTATGAAAGGTGTTGAACCAAAAAACAAACATTTGATAAAAATTCACAAACCTGCGGAAAAATGCAAGCTTCTTCACTTTGATTATTTTGACGAGAGCCTGATTTCACCATGCTGCCTCACATATGGTCTGAAAATTGTGAGTTGTTGGAGAGAAGAAAAATTACTTCTAAGGAATACTCTAAGGATACAAGGTCGAACTTGACTATGTGCCAGGACTCATAGACACAACTTTAAGTTCTCAAGTTGGGCTGCCGTACCTCTATCCTTGAAGGCGTTGAACTCAGATAATTGTAGCATAACTGGCTCTGTTTACTGTCATCATTCTTCAGACAATAAGAATGTTCTGTATCAAGTTTAAAGTCTCTTTTTTTAAAGTCTAAAGTTTTTACATTAGCTTTGTTAACTTTACTTGGTTACAAAGAGCAAGATGATAGTTCAGAGCATTTTATATATTTCGTATTTTAGGTACTTCCTCCCCTTTTCATTCCACCTTTGTCATTTCATCCTCAATAAGCATTAAGTTGTTTTTTTAAAAGTAAAAATAGATTCACCTAAATAGTGCAAAGTGCTTGTGGATGGTTTTTGTTCAATTTGTTAAATGTTTTATTTTCATTAACAGCAGTGGCTTATATTACGTTATATTTAGTTCGTTAAAAATTTCTTTTTCATCAATAGTGGTTTGAATTTTTACTTCAGATACCACATTGCCAGTGATCAAGTGTCCAAATCCTGTCATTCTGTACGTAACACTGGGAAACTCGGTCGACTACGAATTCATGGACTCGTTGATCGACTCCTCGGATGATAACGCTGTTGTCTTCACTGCTTTCTCCCGGCCAAACATCACAGTGAGCTACAGCGACATTGGCTCTGTGTTTGACATCCAAGCCACTGTGTATGATGCGGCAAGCAATACTGCTTCATGTCTGTTCCAAGTCGAAGCTAGAGGTGAAGGAATTAGATTGTAAAGGTGTTATGAATTTAATTGTGATGTACAAATTAATCATATTTTAGCAATAAATATAATTTATACTATGAATTTCCATTTTCTAAAAAAAAGCTCAAGGCGTATTATATTCAAAATGATATCGCATTTTAAAAATTAATAGACATGTGTGTACGTAAAACATAGTACATGTCGACAAAGTTAGGCATGACAAGATCATCGACGGGCTGGAAGTCCTCAATATTGACAGGAAGGACTTAAAGATGATCAAGAACATGTACTGGGATCAAACTGCTGCAATGAGAATAGAAAACGACATCAGCGAATACATACAGATTAAAAGAGGAGTCAGACAGGGATGTGTGCTTTCTCCAGACTTGTTCTCCCTGTTTAGTGAAAATATCATGAGACACATAGAAGAAATGTTAGGTATCTCGATAGGGGGACATAATATAAACAATCTTAGATATGGAGACGACACATTCCTAATAGCAGAAGATGAAGAACACCTATAGAATTTTTAAATGTCATCGTACAAGAGAGTGACAACATGGGCTTAAGCCTAAACATCAAGAAAACGGAAACAATGGTGATAAGTAGAAAAACTCCATCCCCAACATGCAATATCAAAATCAATGATACCACCCTCAAGCAAGTACAACATTTAAAATATTTTGGGACCATTATATCATCAGATGGGAGATGTCACACCGAAATTAAAAGCTGCACTTGCCAATCAAAAACAACCTTCCACAAAATGAAACAGATACTCACAAACATCAATCTGTCACTGGAAACGAGAAAAAGAGTACTGAAAAGTTACATCGAGCCAATCCTATTATACGGGGGGGAAGCATGGACAATCAATAAACAGCTGGAGAGAACAATTGTGGCGACAGAGTTGTAGTTTATAAGATGCATGCTACGTATCTCATGGACAGCTAGAAAAACAAAGGAAGAAGTCTTGGTTGAAGCAAATTGCCGAAGACAGCTTATGACGAGTATAAGAAAGCGACATGAAAATTTCTTTGGACACACAATGCGGAAAGAAGCATGGGAGAACATTGTAATAACAGGCAAGTTTGATGGAAAGAGAGGCTGAGGCTGACAGAGGGAAAAGATACTGGACAAGATGACAACATGGCTAGGAGCAGCAAGAACAACAGACACCATTGCTGCAATGCAAGACAGAGTGAAGATGAGGTCCATGATCGCCCACGCCTGTCGGCAAGACACCGGATGATGATGATGTGTGACTTGAAACATTCCTTTCTTCATTTGTTTTGTTTTATTGTTCTTTATCCTGAGATAGAGCCCAGAGAGAGTAAACTGTTGGGTTTTTTTGTTGTTTTTTTTTAAAACCCTAAGTGCAAATGGTGATTTATGAAATTTAACACATTCTCTCTGTTTTGTGATGAGAAGATATTCATTTGCCAAGAGGATTAGAATATTTTTAGAAGGAGATTGGCGTCAGAGATTAACCTTACAACTGTTTGGCCTACCTGGTTGCCTTTGTGCTGGTGTTCAGGTGTGATATGTAGCTAATGCCTTCCCATTTAGTTCAGCTTTGTGAAGACATGCTATTTTTTATGTAAATGTTCTTACTCTCCCTCAGATATTCTAGAAAAGACATAGTCATAGTTTACTTTTTGCTTTACTTTACTTCTAGCATCACAATATCTATCCATGGACTGACCCTTCAGCACTATTTTTACCTCCTCAACCTCCTTTATTTAGTCTATGTGTTTCTCTTCAAGTCCTCCCTGTTATTATGCTCCTTCTCTCTTGATCTTATTAAAAGTCTATCACCCTTATAGCTGCTCCTTTTCTTTGCATGGTATTCTCCAGTTACACCTCTAACCTTCAGCACTTGTATGACCTGCTGTGTTGCAAGTACTGCAAAACTTTTACTAAAGCTAAACTCTCCCGTTTATCTCCTCTCCAGTTCAAATATGTGGTAAGGACACTTTGACCACACCACATAACACCTCTAATCTTCAGCGCTTATGAGACTTATTTGTGTTACAAGTGCCGTAACTCTTTCTCTTTAAACTAAACTCTCCCGTTATCTCCTCTCCAGTTCCAATATGTGGTGAGGACACTTTGACCACACTGCCTAATGCCTTTGGAATTAATGTGACCTGTTTCCCTGTTTTCTCCTCTCCAGTTCAACTATGTGGTGAGGACTCTTTGACTACACCACCCAACACGGAGAAATCGTGCGTACCAACACAGAGTGGAGGCTACACCTGTACTTTTACCTGCCCACCAGGGTACTACTTCTATGAAGATTACCCCAATGAACAGTTCAATACTACGTGTGAGCCAAGCGTAGGCTTCGATGTGGAGCACGTGCCAGTGTGCGCTGGTCAGTATAGAAATATATCATATGTATCAAGACTGCTTATTAAAGTTTAGATTACTGTGGTTGCTCTTTAAGACTCTAAAGACATTCTACTTTTTGCTCTTTGTTTATTAAACACATGAACACATATGCACACACACGCACACACACACACACACACACACATACACATACAAACACACACGAACCAACACACACATACACGCACAAACACACACGAACCAACACACACA